GTCCAAATCCCTCACGGACGCAACGACAAAAAGGGGCGACTCTGCTTCAGCGAAAACTGACGGTGCTCCAGCCACGACGGAGGTTTCAACAACGTGGGTGGTGTTTCTGCAGCGTCATCGGTGTTGCGATCATCACATTGTTGGTGTTGTAACCATGACGAGGTTTCAGCAATGTGGGCGGTGCTTTTCACAGCATCTCCGATGTGCGACCACAACATCGCCAGTGTTGCAACAACAACTCCGATGACACCAACAATGTTGTGCAATGACGTCTTTGCAATGTTGACGGCGTTGTGCTCGCAACACATGCAATGTCCCGGGGTGACGACTTGCAACGTAGACCATTTTGCGGGGGAGGGGAATGCCATAGTCCATCTTAAGGGGACCCTACGAAAAGCGATCCGGTCAGTATTTGCAAAAGAACAGCAGGATGACGCGTAGCACAGACCATTTGTATTTAAAGATACATAAGCCAGAGGCAATACAAGCTTTGTACTAGTATTAATTATTTTTCTATCTATAACATAAAGCGTGGAGACCTTTTCCAAAAATAAAAGAGCTTGGAGAAAAAGTGAAGAAAATTGGAAAATCACCAGATTTTCTCCTCCTCCTATATTAAACTCCCCCCAACCCCCTCCTCTTCCTCCTCCGGAACACCACACCACACCACAGCCCAGCCTCCACTCCACGCCTCACCTCGCTCCCTCGCCACGACTATCTGCCAGCCAATGTCGGCTCCCGCCCACGCGATACGCCGCACAGCCCGCCCCCTCTCCTCGTGAGATCGCCGCGCCGCTCCCCGCTCCCGCCGCCACGCGCCGCCCGCCCACCCCCTCCAATCGCGAGCCCTCCCGCCCGCATCTCGTGCCTCCGACGTTCCCGGCCGACGAGCGGCGCTCTTTTCCGCGCGGAATCCGAGCGCCCCGTGCGCCCTTCGCCGCCCGCGGGATCCGCAAGGCCGTGGGAGCGGAGCGGGCATCGCCGGGGGAGAGGGACAATGGCGGCAGCCGCGCCACCGCTCTGCGCGTGGCTCGTCGCCGCGGGCGCGCACGCGGACTGCGGGGCGGACGAGCACCACCGCCAGCAGCACCGCCAGACGCAGTGCCTCGACGCCGGCTCCGGCGCGATGTTCGGCCTCGACCGCCGCCCCCTCGGGGCGCGGCGCCGTGGGTCCGCGCGCTCTGGTGAGACTCGCACGCGCCCTGTCTCCCGCATTTGTCCCTTGTTGCTCTTGCTTGGACCGTGCCACGAACGTACGCGCGAATCCGGGTGCAATTTCGGAGCATCGGTTGTATCGCCCGGGGTCAGGGTGCGGGTTTAATCCCGTTCCATGGTGTCACATTCTGCGTCTACGCTCGTCATGCGTGTGGTGATGGAGGATATTCCATGTTTTGTGCCAAGGATCTTGGTGCACTGGTTCATGTGGTTTTTTTTGGTATCGCTGTCGAGATTCACACGTTTGTGGTGAATCGGCTGCATCGGCATTGTTTTCGTTTATCTTGTCTGGCTCTGCTTGTTTGCATTTGCTATGAGGATACGCCGCGGGAATTTGACTCTTGACTAGAGAGCCTGTAAACAGAATGAGATTGCATAGCATTAGTCTATAAAAACTGAGGTTATTAACTGAAAGTGTGACACTCCAAAACCCTGAAAAATGTTGTCATAAGCAACATAATTTTGATCATCCACCAATCAGCAAACAAACTGTAGTCCTACAATATTTCTTTCCTTTTCGCATTAACTGAGCTGTATATCAGTGGTTCATGTGTGATATTGGTCTCGCTGTCAGCTTATGCGCATATGAGTGGGATCCATACGTTTGTTGCAAATTGGCTGCATCGACAATGCTGCGTTTAGCTTTGGCTAGTTCTGCTTGTTTGCATTCCTTATGAGCACAGGACACACGGCTTTGACTCTTGACCACAAAGTGTAGAGCTTGAGCTAGTTTGAAGTTGAGGAAGTGTATGAAAGACTTAAGGAAACCTGAAAACTATTGTCATAGGAAACCCAGTTTGGATTATCCACCAATCAGCCAAAAAAAACTGCAGTCATTCAATATTTTTCTTCCAGCATTAATTAAGTTGTGTAGGAGTGGATGTGGCATGGCGTGTCAAATGAGGCACTTGACGAAGTGTTTGAGATGCGTGCGTCTGTCGAGAATGTCACTTGTCTGCTTATGCCTGCCGGTTGTTCGTCACATGTGCTGGCTCAAGCAGACTAGGAGGGTTTCTCCCTTAAAAAATTGCAGGCAAGGGTCTAACGAAATGTGTTGCAATTTGCAGGAATGGCCATGTCTGTTGCCTTGCAGCCTGAAAGGGTAATTGTCGAGAAGAAGAGACCTGATGTTAAACAAAGGAGAGTGGTCGTCACTGGCATGGGTGTAGTGACGCCACTGGGTCATGATCCTGATGTGTTTTACAACAACCTTCTTGACGGTCATAGTGGAATAAGCGAGATTGAGACGTTTGACTGCTCCAAGTTCCCCACGGTAATACATGGCTGATGGTTTACTTCCTTTATGTACAGTTGAGGCAGGATCACTGTTGCAATCTAGTTGAATATGTTCTTTCAGGGATTGACATGTGGATTTGTGTACAGAGAATTGCAGGAGAGATCAAATCCTTCTCTACCGAAGGTTGGGTTGTACCCAAGCTATCTAAGCGAATGGACAAGTTCATGCTGTATTTGATAACTGCTGGTAAGAAAGCATTGGAAAATGGTGGGCTCACTGAAGAAGTCAGGAATGACTTGGATAAAACCAGATGTGGGGTTCTCATTGGATCTGCGATGGGCGGCATGAAGGTGTGGATTTCCCTGCTGTACTAATATAGTTATATCTCTAAAATGATGATTATTTTTTGACAGATGCCTTTTTCCAATAATTTCATACAAGTTACGATATAATATCATGCAGGTATTTAATGACGCGATTGAAGCGTTAAGGGTTTCTTACAGGAAAATGAACCCGTTTTGTGTTCCCTTTGCTACTACTAATATGGGTTCTGCAATACTTGCAATGGATCTGGTAATATACAATATCTTTTCATGCATGGTTAAGACCATAGTTATTATACTCAAAACAGAAGAAGGAAAACGACTATAGTTCTTGATGGCTATATTTTCTGTTATTCATAGGGCTGGATGGGGCCAAATTACTCTATTTCCACTGCATGTGCCACCAGTAACTTTTGTATCCTCAACGCAGCAAACCATATCAGAAGAGGGGAGGCTGTAAGTAACTCCATGATTTTATGATCTATGGGGGAGTAACGCATTTTCTAATAATTTTTTCAAATCCTCCAGGATGTCATGCTTTGTGGTGGTTCTGATGCGCCACTCATCCCAATTGGTATGTGATCCTGATAATTGTTAAAACTAGAAAGGACAATTTCTATTCTAACTCCAACAACGTCGTTGTCTCTTTTCAGTTTCCCACTTTTTATCCCGATTTTCGCTGTTTTGAGACTTTAAGATGTTTCATGCAGGATTGGGAGGTTTTGTTGCCTGCAGAGCTCTTTCACAGAGGAACAGTGACCCAACAAAAGCTTCCCGGCCCTGGGATATGGTTAGTGTACTTTGCTTTACAAAATCGATGTTGCTAGACACTTTGCTTCATGCACATTAGCCGGCTATTTTCTTTTCAAGATCAGTTTGCGGACCGAATGTAACTATCTATATTTAGCTATCCAAACACACTGCCGCTTTGCTGGCTTATGGGCTTTTTTGAAATGAACTTTGTGGCTTGGTTTTTGCATCGTGCCATATTTTAACAGTGTATATTTTGTGTTGTAGGACCGTGATGGTTTTGTTATGGGAGAAGGGGCAGGCGTGCTAGTATTGGAAGAACTTGAGCATGCTAAGGTTCTATACATACTTTTGCATTAATCCCTGTCATATGGATCTGTTGCTTGTTATTTTTCAGTTGGGTTGACTTGATACTAATGTTCAACTGTTCAACACTTTCTGCTCTGGGTGAATGTTCTGCAGCAAAGAGGTGCAACAATATATGCTGAATTTCTTGGTGGAAGCTTCACATGCGATGCTTACCATATGACTGAGCCGCATCCTGAAGGTGAAAATACACATTCTAACTTTGTCTTGCTCTTCCATTTTCTTACCGAAATATCATCTTCCAACATCACATTTCCTCCATATCAGGAACGGGGATCACTCTCTGCATTGAGAAGGCACTGGCTGATTCAGGGGTAACAAGGGAAGAAATTAACTATGTGAATGCGCATGCAACATCTACACAATCAGGCGATTTGAAGGAGTATGAAGCGATAGTTCGTTGCTTCGGCCAGAACCCTCAGGTATATATTACCTGATGCCAGAATGTTTTAGCAACTTCAGGAATCACATCCAATAAATTATACACATATCCTTTTGCAGCTAAGGGTGAACTCAACAAAATCAATGACTGGGCATCTTATAGGAGCAGCTGGCGGAATAGAAGCTGTTGCTTGTATACAAGTAAGGAGCTCTTGTTTGCTATAGTTTTATCCGTTTATCCTATTACTTGGACAAAATTTCAGTTTCTTGAATTATCCATTAAGGACTATGGATTTCTTGAATCATGTCTCTTTGTCCCCACATTAGTTTTGTCTTTTCAAATATTGATCCAATATGCTGATCTCTAGTTCAATTGGTAGTAGATGTAGACAGAAACATGAAGCTTGCATCTGTTGGAATTAGTGAAATGTAACAATATTACCAGTATATCTAGCAAGGATAGAGATAGACAACCTATTGCTTACATAGCTATTTCTTACATCATTGATCATTCGTGTATAACATTTGAACTGGGTCTGTATGAGAACAATAGTTACAAACTAGCAAGTCAAAAGTTGAAGTGTCGAGCAACAGATTCTATCTGCATGATACTACATTTCTCTAGCTTTTCCAAGAAGATCTATAGACGTCATTCATTTAATGTTACTACAATTGTTAATGCGAGATCATCATGGTTGTATTACTCATTACTTTTTGTTCTGTTGTTCATTGCAGGCTATAAGAACTGGTTGGGTCCATCCAAATCTGAATTTGGAGAACCCAGAAAAAGTAGTGGTAAGCTTGTTGCAAATTATTGTTTTCCACAGTAGATCTACCTTTGGGACCTCTTTTAGACTTATCTCTTATTTGGTTGGTAAAATATCTTGCATAGATTGAAGCCTGTCTCCTTAACTATATTGACCCCCACCAGATTTGCTTATTACTCCCTCCATCCCATAATGTAAGACGTTTTTTGGCACTGGTGTAGTGTTAAAAAACATCTTATATTATGGGACAGAGGGAGTATTTGCTAGCACTAAATAAGCTAGGATATGAATGAACAAAATTTGCAGTAATATATCACTAGAGCTCATTTCATCCAATGAATGTTCTGATCTCAATCTTGGCTACAGGATGTGGGCGTTTTAGTTGGAGCAGAGAAGGAGAGGTGCGAAGTAAAGGTGGCGCTGTCAAACTCATTCGGATTCGGTGGGCATAACTCATCAATTCTGTTTGCCCCCTTCAAGTAAACTCGGGATGGTGATCTGCTTGTTGTCCGATTATGGAATGGAACTGGAACTGGAACTGCATATACAAGACTAGTGGAGTAGCTAGGCGGCTTCTTTGAATATTACATGGAGGTCTGAGCTGAGAAGATCATCGTATTACTTACAGTTGAGCTAAGAAAGCGTCGAGGCCTCCGAGCCCCCAGCCATGTTCATATTTGTCGACATCGCATCACAGGCACATCCCCTGTCAAAGGGTCCAGTCTTCCTTTCGCAAGCGAAGAATCATGTGGTGTAGCCTATGGCCTATGTTTATTGTTATTCAAGTACAGTATTGTCGGATAATCCACCTTCCCATAACTTGCCCTTCCTGTGCCCGTAAGTTTTCGCCTTGGCCGTCTGCCCCTCATGGGTGCTCGTTCCTAGATTTGGTGATGAGAGACCCTTGCAGAGGTGCTGCTGCTGGGATTTGCTGTTGTATTGATGTTCTAGTAACCGTGGTTCGTGTAAGCATGTCTGAACTTGGCAGCACTGCTCCCCCCATTCGTTGATTTTCCATGTGGGATTTCCTGTTAACTGGATTAAAGTCGTTGTAATCATGCTTAATTTTCTCGTCAAATTTTTGGGCAAACATTGCCCGAAGCTGTCCTGTAAAATAAGCTCAGGCACATTGAAACAGTCTGGAGATTTTCTCGCCAAATTGATTATGGAATTCAGAGAACGAGCACATTAGCACATGCTTGATGCAGACGAATCGGATTGTCCCTACTATGAATCCTCAGCTTCTTATTTTCTAAGGAAAAATTGGCTCCTCATCGAACCATTTCCCATGCCATCCTTCGATCTCCATGCTGCGAAAGCAAATACAGATCACTTGAACACATTTTGCAACAGTCACGGATCGCCACTTAGCAGATGATGAACAATTCGAACTCTACTAGATACATGCGTGTACGGCTTACCATGGCAAGGCGATGTCTTCGCCGTCCCGCTGGTGGTAGAGATGCGTCTCCTGGCCGCCGACCGGCTTGCCGCTCCATGTGACTCCTTGGTCGCCGGAGCCTTCGTACAGCCACCCCGCAGCCGGCATACTCGCCACGTCAACGTCGCCTCCTTCGTGCCCGGCCGGCGCGCACAGCTCGCCGACGCAGCCGCTACCCTCGGTGCCCTGATCGAGGACGTCGCTCCACCACGCGCACGCCGGCGTGGCGGCCGCGTCACCCCACCCAAGCAAGGAGGTGGCCTCACTCTCGCCCTCCGGCCCCATGTGTGGCGCGCCTGCCAACGACGCCGCGTTCTCCAGGGCGTCGACCGCCGGTGAACCTTCTTGGCTCAGCATCACCGCCAATGGGGGAGACGAACGCGCCCGAGAGTCAGAGGAGTCAGCGGGCGGCGGTTGGATCAAAGGACGGTTACGAGAAGCGCCAGCACTGTTAGTGGCATCATACACAGATGAGCCAGCAAAACCATGGAAGCTGAGGTTGAGGCCTAGCGGCAGCGCCGGGAGGCTGCGGTCCAGGTGACCCAGCAGGCCACCGCCGACGACGACAGGCGGCGCGACCGGAAGTACAGGTGCGTGGTAACGCCGCGTGGAGTCGTCGCGCAAGTGGTCGGAGAAGAAGGCGTCGCAGGGGGGCCACTGCGCTTGCTGCTCGTGCTGATCTCTGGATCGCATGGTCACCGCGGCGGCGGCGGCCCTGTGGACCCTGAGAGCGGCGGCGATCTCCTTCCTGGCCGCCGCCATGTCGACCAGCCTCTCCTGGAACGGCCTGCTCGTGGACGTGCGCAGCCGCCTCCTCACCTGCCTAGCCTTGACCAGCGGCTCACCCTGCTGATCCTGCCGCTGACGATCTTGGAGTGGCTTCGGCTGCCTCGCGTGAGGGCTCATGGCGTCTAATTAGGCGTGGGTGTTCTACTGTTCTTGGTTTTTTTTTAAACATAAGTTCCTGGCTTGTGCTGCTAGTTCGATCGTGTGTGGACTGTGAGGCTACTCCGATCAGATTTTCTCCGTACCTTTGGCCTGCCTAATGCATGGCTGTACAGGACTACAGCGGTATGGATGTATGATGTTGAAGGTGTGCCGTGGCACTAGGTTGTGCATTCATGTACTCGCTCTTTGCTCCTAGTTTTTTTAAGGAGAAGAGCCACTTTTTCTTCTTGTGCGGGGAAAATAGGAGTTTTGTTCCATAACTATAGGGTTATTACAATCAAGAGGCAATAACTCCTTGATACACGGCGGACCTCTAAGGAGCCAAATTACAGTACAAGACTTCATATGTACAAGCCAACTAATGGGCTACCTTATTATGTTCCCTGTTGAGCTTCTGTGGAATAAACTCCCTCTCTTCCTGAAGAGCTTTGATCTCTGCTGCCAAATGACCATAGGCGGACCTGAAAAGGTTATCACTCGATCGGATCGCTAGAGCCTTAGAAGAATCTGACTGGACGATAATCGGCAATTCTGAGTGTTGGATGGCCAGAGCCATGCTCTACATGAGTGCATGAATCTCTGCTTCCAACCCATCATTGCACTTGAAAACCACATGGTAGGCTGCAAACACCACCGTGCCACTAGCACGTCTTAAAATCATGATGTTTGCAGCTGAACCATCATTAGAAGAAAATGACCCATCAACCGATAGGGCTACACGATCCACCAGTGGAGGAGGTCATGCCACGGGGATCAGCGACGGCTTCACCTTCACCTTGATCGGAGCCATATCAATAGTCACGTTCCCTTTAATCATCTCGCTGCTGGAGTATCGCTTTGCTTGCACAATAGGTTTCCAATAATTGTCCAAAAACTCAACCATAACATCTCTTGTGGAACATGTTTATCATGAGCCAAATTCCACAACTCTAAATTCTCCATACAAGCATTATGACCATACCTCGAAGGTCCTTCGGGCATCCATCTAATACATGCAATAGCCATTCCTTACCATTATACATGAGGTGTTCCTTCGCATGGAGAGGCCAAACTTCGCTTATATGGTCCCATAAAATTGAAGGAAATATGCCCTAGAGGCAATAATAAAGTTGTTATTTTATATTTCCTTATTTCATGATAAATGTTTATTATTCATGCTAGAATTGTATTAACCGGAAACTTGATACATGTGTTGATACATAGACAAAATACCGTGTCCCTAGTAAGCCTCTACTAGACTAGCTCGTTGATTAAAGATGGTTAAGTTTCCTAGCCATAGACATGTGTTGTCATTTGATAAACGAGATCACATCATTAGGCGAATGATGTGATGGACAAGACCCATTTGTTAGCTTAGCATTATGATCGTTCAGTTTTATAGCTATTGCTTTCTTCATGTCAAATACATATTCCTCCGACTATGAGATTATGCAACTTCCGGAAACCGGAGGAATGCCTTGTGTGCTATCAAACGTCACACCGTAACTGGGTGATTATAAAGATGCTCTATAGGTATCTCCGAAGGTGTTTGTTGGGTTGGCATAGATCGAGATTAGGATTTGTCACTCTGAGTATCGAAGAGGTATCTCTAGGCCCTCTCGGTAATGCACATCATAAGAAGTGAAAGTGCTAGTATTCGACTAGAGGGAGGGGGGGGGGGTGAATAGGCGATTTCTATGAAAGTCTTCAAAACATGGGTGTTTCAAAGACAAACGATAGAAATGACCCCATTGATATGCAGCGAAAGGTAGACTACACTAGACAAGCCATAGTCAAGTAAGCAATGAAATGAAAGCACAAAGACTATAAGCAGCTAGGTAGATTGGATCAGCATGGAGGATAGTATGAAGCCAAACAGACAACGATCTTCACACAGTGAAGTCAAACATATAAGGCAAGTAGGCAAAGACTTCACGAGGATAAATTGTAAGTAAGGTGAGAGAGGCAGGATAGAACCAGTTGCTCGGAGAGGACAAGGAATTTGTTGGACCAGTTCCAGTTGCTGTGACAACTGTACGCCTAGTTAGGGAGGCTGAGATTCAACTCAGAAGACCACGTCTTCACCTTATTCCCCTTGAGAGAAGAACACTTAGTCCTCGCCCAATCACTCTGGTAAGTCTTCAAGGGAGACTTCCAAACCTTCACAGACTTCATTCACCGGCAATCCACAATGACTCTTGGATGCTCAGAACGCGATGCCTAACCGGCTGGAGGATTCATAGTCCTCAAGTGTAACAAGTCTTCAGATCACGCGGACATAAAGACTTTAGTGATGCCTAACACTCTCTGGCTTTGGGTGTTTTGAGCTTTGTCCTCGCAAGGATTCTCTCTCAAAAGGCTTCGAAGGTGGGTTGCTCTCAAACGACAAAAGCCATGCACAAACTCTGAGCAGCCACCAATTTATGGTGTAGGGGGTGGGCTATTTATAGCCAGGAGGCAACCCGACCTGATTTGTCCAAAATGACCCTAGGTCACTAAGGAACTGACACGTGTCCAACGGTCAGATTTCAAACACACGCGACAGCTTGACTTGGGCTACAAGTAAAGCTGACTCATCCAGCTCTGGATAAGATTTGCTCTCATTGTCTTCGCTCGAAGACATAGGATTTGGTTGAGCATCACTTCAGTCACTCTGACTTTGTTCACTTGGACCCCACTTAATACTACGGTGGTTCCTATGACTCAACAAAGAAGAAAAGGAAACTACGAAACAACTATGTCTTTGCACTCCATAGTCTTCATGCGATGTCTTCTCTTGTCATAGTCTTCAATGTGAATGTCTTCACAGACCACCATTGTCTTCAATGTCTTCACACATTTTTAGGGGTCATCTCTGGTAGGTAAACCAAATCAATGTGGGACTACTACCTGTGTTATCCTGCAATTCTCACAAACACATTAGTCCCTCAACCAAGTTTGTCGTCAATACTCCAAAACCAACTAGGGGTGGCACTAGATGCACTTACAATCTCCCCCTTTTTGGTGATTGATGACAAACTGGTTGAAGCTTTCAACGGGGATAAACGTATGTGAAAGTTTAGTGTTGTGAGTATTGTCTTCGTACATAAGACGAGGCTCCCCCTGAAGATGTGCATATAAATGGTTTGCTTTTGAATGCAAATGCACATGGCAGGTTATGCTTTGTGGAGGCCATCATCAAAGTGTGGAGACAATGCATTATGCATATAAGCAAGTAACGAAGATAATGATATGCATAATGAAAAATGGACATCTGCAGAATGACTTCATGCGGGATTTGTCATCGCATCACAGAATAGTAGATAAAGTAGCAGATGACCATCAAGTTTAAGTGTTACAACTCAGAGTACCAAATGTATCAAAAGACGAGAGTTGTAAGACTTAGCAAAAATAATGCAACCACCCTTAAGGACCCGCTTGAAGACTATCAACTCATATGCTTCTCCCCCTTTTTTCAGTAATGACCAAAAAGGTTTGAAGATATAGAGTGTCTACTCGTTCCCAGAAGGAGCAGATGGAGGAGTAGGGTCGTTGTTGGAGTTTGGTGGTGCAGAGGTGCCTGGTGCAGTTTCGATACGCGCCAAAGTGGTAGTTGGTGAAGTAGCATCATCTTCGTCAGCGATGACTCTGGCATTGATAGTTGCTGCTGAGGAGGAGTACTCAGAGTCTTTGAGTGAAGGAGTCCGACGCAAGACAACATTCCTGGGAGGAGTGGAATCAAATTTGAATCTCTCTATGAAGCCATCTTGCAGAAGATCATCTTCAGAACTGAGTAATGTCAGACTCTTCCACGACCGCCGGCAGGTTTCATGAGTGACAAATGCATTCTTGGTGGCTAAATTTCAAATGCGATTAACATCCACCAAGAGACTCTGCATCTGACGCTTGAGCCAGTCATGATGCTTATCTTGTTTCTGATGCAAGGCCACGAGAAGCTTTCGATCATTGAGTACACGAGATCTCTTCCAAGGCCTTCGAGCAATAGTGCTTTCAGTGGCTTCAGTATGGGCACGATGAGGTGCACGGGTATTTCCAGCCAAAGGATAAACATGAGTTGCAACATGAACTCCTTCAATAAGTTGAGTGAAACTTTGACGATTGACGTTGTGAAGATAAATTGGCTCCTTGGCAGGCTCTGGATATATGGCTTTGACAGACATATCAACATCTGGCAGGAATATGAGATGGTTGTGCACAGAGGGTTGATAGTTGATAGCAGAGTGAAGCTTGATAAGGCGTATAAAACTTCGGACCAAATGTATCAAAGCTAGATGCAGCAAGTTGTCTGATGAAGAAATCCCGAGCATTGAAGCTGATGCCATTGAGAATATAGAAAACCAATGTCTTCATTGAGCCTTCAAGCTTCGCTGCAGAAGAATGTCCTTTGATGGGCCATAGAGTTTGCCTGATAATGTGATAGATGGTGCGGGGTAGATACTCTAGGTCTTCAACAAAGAATTCCTTTGGATATTCAGCATCTTGTGCCAGTGGCTTCATCATGCTCAGCATTTGGCTCATATTGGGCTCAGGCTTCTGGAACAGGCTCTCTAAAGCATTGCGATGAAGCTGACAACCAGGTTCATAAAGTTCACCTAGAGTGGGCAGGGCAGTAAGCTCAATGATATCAAGAGCTTTGGCTTCATGGTGTACATTGTTTGTCATCCACTCAAGGACCCAAGTTTTCGTATCCCTGTTGTAGCCGTGAATGTGAAGTGTAGCATAGAATTGTAACAGAAGCTCTTCATTCCAATTTTCTTTGTCAGTCACAAACTACAGAAGGCCAACATCTCTGAAGCAGTCCAGGGCTTCTTCCAAGCAAGGCAGTCCAGCAATGGCTTCGCAATCTAGACGCATATGAGGAAAAATGCGCCCTTGATTGTATAAGACACAAGAATAATAACTGCGCTGCTGATATCTCCAGAACCGATCAGATGAAATTCTTGGCCTTGAATATGGGTTCTTGGCACTATCAAAGAAGG